CATTAGTTGTAGCATTTATTCCTTCTTCTTGCCTTTGATATTTACAATACTCACATACAATCCTATTTTCTCTATATCCAGGAAAATGATTTCCTGGTGTTGGTCTTTATGATTCACTATAATAGTATTTTTTAAATCATACCATTGAAATTTTGGATCAGGCAATATTAAAAAAATCATACAATACCAAATAATGTAGTTAGTGGAGTTTGTACTACATGAATAAAATAACCAAAAATTACATAAATAATAATAAACCAAATTTTTGTTTATTTACATATTAATATAGAGATACTATTTGAATATGTTGTATGTGAAATTGAAATATTATGGAGCGGGGTGAAATTCTGATCGGCTAATTTGAATTCCACATATGGGGGTTTCGAGTAATATATAATAATAAAAAATTATTAAATTTGTTACACATAAAATACCCCTGGAAATTATTTTACGATTTCCGTGCAGCATAATGGACACTCGTTTTATCACTTTGTGACAAAATCGATTGTTGATCTTTTTTATGTTGTGAAACATGTGATTTCAATTGTTTTAAAATAGAAAAAAGGCGTATATGTATACAAAAAAAATATTATTAAGGTACATATTAATTTTTTTGCGCAGAAACGTTTTTTATGTTTGCCTTTACTAGTAGATTAAATAAGATCAAAAGATCATGTCTAGATCAAAAGTTAGATGAGAACTAAAGTTTGAAATAAACACTACGTGTATGTAAACATTTTATTCAAATTAAAATTTTATTTTACCAATTTTTAATTAAATCAAAAGCGTTTTTAAAGTCTAAAACTATTTTTTGTTCTTCAGTTATATTTTCCTCTACCTCCTCGTCTCCTGTTACATCAGGCTCTTCGAATTCATCATCATCATCCAACGAATCAGTCAAACTTTCTTTTTCTAGTCTTTTTATATAAGAAGATACGTTGGAAATTATACCCGCTTTATAAAATTCCAAGCAATAGGTACATTGATTATTTTTCATTTCATAGCAATTTTTATGAAATGCATGACCACATATCAGCATTAATGCACTTTGATCATAATTATTTTCAAAACCAAGGTTGCAATAATCACATCCATTAGAAGATGGTGGTTTACTGGTATGATATCCTGTTGGAATGCATTTCAAATTGATTTTTTTATTCAAGGTTGCTAAATAATATTCTTTTTTGATAATTTTTTTGCTTTTTCCCATATTTAGGTAAACTCTAT